ACATCTTTCTCCTGCGCCTTGAACCTGTGTAAAAGGTTTTTTCTTCTACCTTCTACCCCTCCAAAGAAAAAAAAAACAACAACAACTTAAAAACCTCACAAAAAACCATGCGCTAGGGCCTGGGCATGTAATTGCTCTGAGGCCTGAGAATGTGCTTGTGTTTTTGAGTTTGGTTGGTGTGGAGCTGGTGCATGGTATTTCATGTATCCTAGTTACTCTGACTTTGAGAAGGAGGGAACCGCCGGGTGTGGTGGCTCACACCTGTAATCCCAGCACTTTGGGAGGCCAAGGCGGGTGGATCACGAGGTCAAGAGATCGAGACCATCCTGGCCAACATAGTGAAACCCCGTCTCTACTAAAATATAAAAATTAGCTGGATGTGGTGGCGCGCATCTGTAGTCCCAGCTACTTTGGAGGCTGAGGCAGGAGAATTGCTTGAACCCGGGAAGTGGAAGTTGCAGTGAGCCGAGATCATACCACTGCACTCCAGCCTGGCGCCTGGGGACAGAGCAAAACTCTGGTCCCCCCTGCCAAAAAAAAAAAAAAAAAAGGAAAAAGAGGGACCCATGGGCTCCTTGGGGTTGGATTAAGTCAACTTCGTAGATGCTGGAGGAACTACTCACATTTCAGGGGGGAAAAGACCAGAATGCAGCCAGTCCCCTGCCTCTAGGCATAGCAGCCTTTTCCCTGATTCTGAGGGAACCCGCTCCATGCTGATGGCTCTGTGTCCTCCTCCTCATCTACAGATTTGTGAGGCTTCACCGTGATCCTTTCTGTAGTCACAGCTTAGAGCTCTGAGGCAGGGGCTCACCCCAGGCCAAAGGGAGGATGGAGGCGCAGGTACCCAGCCCTATCTCTACACTGGGAAGCTAAAGTGAGAGGGAGAGTGCGTGTCCCCCCTTTTCCCTTCCAGATCTTAGTCTACCAAACAGCTGGAGCAACAAAAATGACAAGAACCACTCCCAGGCCAGGCACAGTGGCTCACACCTGTAATCTCAGCATTTTGGGAGGTCGAGGCAGGTGGATCGATCATGAGGTCAAGAGACCGAGACCATTCTGGCCAATGTGATGAAACCCTGTCTTTACTAAAAATACAAAAGTTAGCCAGGTGTGGTGGTACACGCCTGTCATTCCAGCTATTCAGGAGGCTGAGGGAGGAGAATCGCTTGAACCCAGGAGGCGGAGGTTGCAACGGGCTGAGATTGCACCATTGCACTCCAGCCTGGGTGACAGAGTGAGACCATGTCTAAAACAAAACAAAACAAAAAACAAAACAACACAACAAAACAAAAAAAGAAAGAAAACAAAACCACTCTCTCCACCCCTTCCCAAGAGGTCACAAAGTTTTTCATGTGTGAAGGCCCAGCCAGCACCTGGCAGCTGGGTAGGGGAGACAGAGAAAGAGGTTTTGAGAATGGATTTTCTATTTATTTATTTAGAGACATAGTCTCACTCTGTCACCCTGGGCTGGAGGGCAGTGGTGCAATCATACCTCACTGCAGCATTGAATTCCTGGGCTCAAGCGACCCTTTTATGTCAGCCTCCCAAGTAACTGGGACTACATGTGTGCACCACCACACCGAGCAAACTGTATATATATATTTTTTTTAAAAAAATAGATGTGGGGGTCTTACTGTGTTGCTCAGGCTACTCTCAAACTCCTGGCCTCAAGTGTTCCTGCCATTTTGGGTCCTAAAGTGTTGGGATTGTAGATGAGAGCCATCATGCCGGGCTGGGAAATGAATTTTCTTTCAGAATGGAGATGCCTAGACAAATGAACATACCTATGTGCCTTTTGAATGAGACTCTTGGCCAAGGATGAGAAGAATAAAACATTGGGAAGGGAGGAATTTTGGACTTTCCTTTTCTTGCATTGAAAGAGAGTATTTCAATTTTGTTCTTTGTTCCTTTTGAAATGAGGATCGCTTGAGCCCATGAAGCAGAGGTTGCAGTGAGCTGAGGCTGTGCCAATGCATTTCGGCCTGGGTGACAGAATGAGACCCTGCCAAAAAGAAAAAAAAAAAAAATAGAAGAGGGTTTATGTTCAAACTTAGGACTTTTTTTTTTTTTTCTAATGTTGAATTATTTGATCTTTTGTGCTGCTATATCATACTTATTTTGTAACCCTCAAGTGAGCTGTACTAAGCAACATGACTGAGCAGACTGGAGAGAGGAAATAAGAGTTTAGGGAACAGTACAGTCTTGGAGTTAGTTTGTGTCCTATTTGAACTCAATTCAGAGGCTTGGATATCAACAGTAAACTTGCCACCCCACCAATTTCAGGAGGAAAGAACTGTGATGAGAAGCTGTACTTGTTTTTTTTTTTTCATCTGAAAATGGAGATAACAAACTTTTTAAGTATTATTCAAGGGCTAAATGGGTAAATATGTATAAAGCATTTGGCACTAGGGCTTGCCATATAGTGGGAGTTACTGTATATTAAATCAGTGGGCATATGGTAAGGCTACTTTATTTTTTATTTATTTATTTTTTTGAGACAGAGTCTGCACTCCAGGCTGGAATACAGTGGCAGGATCTCGGCTCACTGCAACCTCCGCCTCCTGGGTTCAAGGAATTCTCTGCCTCAGCCTCCCAAGTAGCTGGGATTACAGGCACCCGCCACCACACCTGGCTAATTTTTGCATTTTTAGTAGAGACGGGGTTACACCATGTTGGCCAGGCTGGTCTTGAACTCCTGACTTCATGATCCACCTGCCTTGGCCTCCCAAAGTGCTGGGATTACAGGCGTGATCGGCCACCATGCCCGATTTGTAAGGCCGCTTCTTAAGGCACAAATGGCCAAATATCTGCCGGGTGGAAGACCACTCTGATGTGCTGCTGGTCTTCTCTCCCTCACCCCTCAAATCACAGCTCTGGCTGGTCACAGATCTCAGGCTCGCTTGTTAAGCCCAAAGCCTTCAGAAGAGAGAAAGCCACTCTGTGGTGGGGGCATTTCTTTCTATCCCCTGTCAACAAGAAGAACAGGTTGGAGGGAATACTTCCCAGCCTACCTGTCCATTCCTTCCTTCCTCCTCCTTGGGGGAAGAGTACAGACCTTATGGATGGGAGCCTGATAGTGGCTTCTCCAGCCCTGGGCATCTTGCTGTTGCTCAGGCTAGTCTCAAACTCCTGGCCTCAAGTGTTCTGTTCATTAGTGAGTCAGTTGGGGTTGGGAATGTGGGCAGAGGCTCTTTAGCCTGAGGTCTCCTATCCAGTTTTCACAGAGAGCCCTGCACTGTGGCACAGCTGTCCAGCCATTAGTAGGATGGATGCTCGATCCCCACTAGGTAACAACTCTCATGTCCTTTTCTGTATTAGCCTTAACTGGAGGATCAGAAGGATGAATCTGCAGCTATTTTTTTTTTTTTTTTTTGAGACAGAGTCTCGCTCTGTCACCCAGGCTGGAGCGCAGTGGCATGATCTTGGCTCAGTGCAACCTCTGCCTGCTGGGTTCAAGTGATTTTCCTGCCTTAGCTTCCTGAGTAGCTGGCATTACAGGCACATGCCACCACACTCTGCGAATTTTCTTTCTTTTTTGGGGGGGGGGTATTTTTACTAGAGACAGGGTTTCACCATGTTGGTTAGGCTGGTCTTGAACTACTGACCTTATGATCCACCCGCCTCAGCCTCCCAAAGTGGTGGGATTACAGGAGTGAACCACCGCTCTGGACCAAATCTGGGGCTTCTTAATCTGCACACTTCCACGTTTCTAATATCATCCACTCAGGAAACTCCCCTCCAATTTTTTCCTGAACTCCACAGGCTCCTATCTTCCCTCCTCTGTCATTTCAAAAAGAATTTTTGCCTTATCTTAAGCTATATCTTGAGAAAGACCATAATAGAACTTTCAATCTAGCTTGAGAAATGATTTTGCTGGAGTTGTATGTTCTTCTAGGTGGGGGGGAAGGTAGCTAAACTAGGGAAAGTGGGCATGTGACAACTTTCTATATGAGGAGAAAGTAAAGGGAGGAAATAGATTATTTTATCTGTCTCCAGGTCTGAACATATTTCCAGATTTTCCTGGGCCAGGACAGACCAGCTCTGCACTGCAGCAGGTCGGCTGCTCTGCTGATCTTCTGAGCACATCTTTTTATATGTCTTTGAGGTAGGACACCAGAGATCAGAGATGTTTCCCTTCCTGCCATCCTACCTGCCCTTGAGTGACAGCTTCCCTTCATTTGTAAGACAGAAACTTTCATTTTCCCATGCTCTTCTTTACCCATTGAATCTAAGGTGCTGTCACAGTGGGAACTGGCCAGGGGTGGGAGGAGATTGTCACATATCAGGTAGATGGGCCTGGCACATAGTAAGCACGTGGGGAGTGTTTGTCGAGTGGGTGAATGGGAGTCATCCACTCTGCGGCGAAGCACGAGTCTTGGCAGATGAGGGTGTAGAGGAAGAGGGTGGAGAGAAGACAAGAGGGTACAGGATGAGATGCTGGGAGCACAGGGTGCAGTCCAAAAAAATGTGCTGAGGAAGGAACAGGGAGCTCGGAGAACTAGGAGAGGGAAGTGTCCTGGAAAGTTAGCAAGGAGAAGTTTCTAGAAGGGGTACTTGGGTCCAGTTCTACAGAAGCAGTCACAGGATTTGCTGATGTTTGTGACTCTTTGGAGAGCAGTTGTGGAGGATGGGTGGGTGCAGCTGGTAGATTGTAGGGGCACGAGGCGGGCACGGGAGCTGAGGGGTATCGAGCAGTGCATTGGTGAGGTGGGGGCAGCATAAGGAGGGTCATGACTTTGTAGGAGATGTTTTGGGATGTGGAGACATGAGCAGGTTTGTAAGCTGAGGAGGATGAGAAGTTTAAACTCGAAGGGATAGGGTAGCTTAGAAAGAAGCTCAGTAGAGTTGGGGGCATCCTGCCTCTCTTCCTGAGCCCAGCAAAGCCACCACAGAGCCAGGCTTGGGACATAATGCTTTAATGCACGCATTTGAGGAGCTGAAAGATGACGCTGGGATGCGGCCCCTCCCAAAACCCAGGCTGAGATTCAGGCACCTCATCATTAGGGTCTCATGACATCATTGGCGCTAGGGATTAGGTTTTTCAGATAGTTCATGATTCCTTTTGTTGCTTTGTCCAGATTCTTCCCAATTTTATGGCCCAGTTTGGTGAGTTTTCTCTCTGAGGTGGTTGCTGAGGAGTATTGGGAGGGAAATGTCGAGTTAAGGCTGGTTCCCTTCCACCCTCTCCCCTCCACCCCGCAATAGCCTTTCGCAGTGCTAGTGATCAATGCTTCATTCGACTCTCACTTACATTTAGTTCTTGTTCCTTCGCAGCTTCCTTTCTCTTTCTAACCCCACCTATTTCCACCCAAGTAGCTCCCAGCCCCTTACTTTTCCTTTCAATACTTTCCCAGCGGCTTCCCCCTTCCCTGGCTCTTACCAGCCCTGGGAGTCACTTCTGCAGTCTCTTCTAATTGGAGCTGAACATTTTCGAAATTGTCCTCCTGGGGTATGGGCTTTTGACTCTTTGCTCTTTTGACAGCTTTCTCTTTGGAAACCAGGTCTTCTTTGGAGATGACAGCCTCCTTAGAGAGGTCCTCATTGGAAACGTGGTCCTTCTTGGGGTGGCTGGGAGTGACCTGGGCAGCTGGAACCAGGAAGAGATAAAGGGATTGGGGAGTGGAGTGAGAGCATGTGGCGAGCAGCAGCTAGTTATCCTGTGTCATGTCCCTTGACATGCAGAGGCTCTCAGTTTTGAGTCATTGTCTAATTAACATACAAGTAGGACTGAGGTCTTGTGCCAGAATCTAAATCTATGAGCAAAACGAAAGGCACATCCCTGATTTTGAATGCCATTAATTAGGAATTCCACTTTTGCCAGCAAATTTACCTTCCCAGTGAAAACAGATCAACCTCACAAACACAGGTCCCATTGGCTGGTGCATTGGAGGCGTTCAGTAAACATTGGTTCTTTTCATCTGAATTCTGGATATTGCTTGAATCTGCCTTCTCTGGCTTCTCTCAGGTAAATTGGGGGAAGCTAGCCTGATATTAAACCATGTCTACGGATAATACACAAAGCAGAATCCTGCTATGTTCATGCTTTTTGGGCTGTGGCAGTGGGGAGCCTGGAACTGAGGAGCCACTACAATATCCTCACCTCCATGAGCCAAAACCCTTTGCCTGCCAGCACTCGGGTGTGAGGTACAGTCCCCACTCCCATCTCCAATGGCTAGCCAGCAGAAAGTGCTGTTCAAACGGTTCCTGGCCCTCACATCTTGGCCAATTAGTGCAGCAGGAAGGATTAAGTTTCAATACTAGGAGGGCTTATCTTTGCTCCACTGCTTTCCCAGATGGAGAATTCATCATTTACTGGACAATCTTTTACCACCACGGACTTACTCTAAAGGATGCCAGCATGAGACTTACAGGCATCTGCAGGCTGAGTTTCTGAGTGAATTTCGTCTTCTGGCTTTGAAAAAGAAGAGGTTAAAATACCCAGAGACCTCAAGACAGTTAACAGATGAGTTTTCCTGTGTACCCCTCCTGCCCCAGCATGCTCAGTCTTCCTTACCCTGCTCTACGTTCGCCTTAGCATTTCAAATACACTTTGTAATTTATTTAATATGTTCCTTGCTTGTTACCTTCTCTTAGAATGTAATTTCAATGATGACTGAGCGTCTATTAGTGTATCCAAGTGCCTAGAACTATGTGTCTGGCACAGAGTTAGTGCTCAGTAAGTAGCTATGGAATGAATGTGTATGTCCCTATTGTACAGAGGGAGGCATGGAAGTCCAGAGAAAGGCAGTGACTCTGCCTGGATTATCCAGCATCACCAGCGGCTGGAATCTAATCGGAATCTCCATTGACCCATAGGGCATCCTGATTTGGGTCTGTTTTGGCCCCTCTGGCTCCAGCCCTGGGCTTTCTAGGTTGCAGAATTCCCGGAGTCGTATGCCCTGATCCCTTACCTCCATATCTAGGTCATTCCAGGTGTGAACTTTTGGTTCTGCAGCTTTCTACCTCTTCACACAGCTCATTACAAGGGTTAAGGAAGCCCCTTCTAATTGCTGAGGTCTCTGTAGCTGACAGCTCAATAACCTGAGGGGTGTGGAAGGAGGCCAGACTCACCACCAAGGACGGCAAGAGAGGTGGAAGCTAGGCTGGCCAGCAGCAGGACCGTGAAGAACTTCATGTTGGAGCTGTAGCTGGATCAGTTTTTTCCTGGGGGAGGCTGCTTAGAGTTGCTGAAGAGGCAGCCTGGCCGGGGCTTTATTTATTTTGGGATAAGGATGGACTCTGGAGAAACTGGTTCAGGACTGGACCTGGGAACATACTAGGTTTCCTCTCCTGAGTTTCCTGTTCTCAATACGTTTGTTTTTGGAAACTGGAGTTTTTGGAAAACGAGTTAACTGGAAAGCGAGGCCCCCAGCCTTCCCCCTCACTTGGACCATGCTGAGCGTGTGTCGGCTCCAGGTTTTGTCCCCAGAAGTCTCTGGAGTAAGAACCTGGGTGTGAGTTTCCCTCTTCCATGGTGCTCATTACCGTGTAATTTTACTTTCATTTGTATGATCTTTTTTTTTTTTTTTTTGAGATAGAGTTTCACTATTGTTGCCCAGGCTGGAATGCAATGGCATGATCTCAGCTTACCTCAACCTCCGCTTCCTGGGTTCAAGCGATTCTCCTGCCCTAGCCTCCCGAGTAGATAGGATTACAGGCATATGCCACCAAGCCCAGCTAATTTTGTATTTTTAGTAGAGACGGGGTTTCTCCATGTTGGCCAGGCTGGTCTCAAACTCTCAACTTCAGGTGGTCTCAAACTCCCAACCTCAGGTGGTCCACCCGCCTCAGCCTCCCAAAGTGCTGAGATTGCAGGCGTGAGCCACTGTGCCCGTCCATTTGATCATTTAATTAATATCTAGCTCCTCCAGAAGAATGAAACTTCCAGGATGGCTGGGATCATATGTTTCGCTTGCCATTGTTTTCCCAGCACCTAGCAGGTGTGTGGCACATAGCAGAGTCCAAGGAAATATTAGTGGAGTGACTGAATCAAGGAAGGGCCAGGCTGTCCTCTAGGGCAGTGGTTCCCAACCTTTTTCGCACAAGGGTCCAGTTTCATGGAAGACAGTTTTTCCACGGCCAGGGGGAGGATGGGGATAGTTTCAGGATGAAACTATTCCACCTCGAATCATCAGGCACTAGTTAGATTAGCGTGCAACCTAGATCCCTTGCCTGTGCAGTTCACAATAGGGCTTGCGTGTCTCTGAGAATCTGCTGCTGCTGCTGATCTGACAAGGGGCAGATCAAGGTGGTAATGCCCACTTGGCTGCTGCTCACCTCCTGCTGCGTGGCCCGGCTCCTAAAAGGCCACAGACCAGTGCCAGTCTGTGACCTGGGGGTTGGGAACACCTGCTCTGGGGTGCAGATAAAATTCCCCATCAGTTCAGGAATGAAGGAGTGAGGCAGTTGTAGAAATTCCGACTATATTCCAGGTAGTATCCTGAGTTTGTTCCCATGGGATATCTCACTTAATTCATGATGGTTTGGGAGGTGTGTGTTATTTATCAAGGAAAAAAAAAAAAACTGATGTTCATAGAGGTGAGGTTACTTGCACAAGACCACATATATGGGTGGGTTTGAACCCAGGTCAGTCTAACTCCACATCTGGGGTCTAGCAGCTCTAAAAGTGGACAAGATGGAGTAGTGGGATGCCCAGAAAGGCATCTGGAGAGCAGATGAGGGTTGTGAGTAGGGTCTGGGTGTTGGTCATGGGCTGGGAACCGATCTAGCTGACCGTGTGCCCTTCTCCAGCTGGAAGTTTGATGTTCTCTGTGAAACCTCTCCAGGAAGGAGAAGGCTGCTGTACCCTGACACCGAGTCTCTTACTCTCAGCAGAGAGCATGGCTTGCTGGGCACGTGGATAGGTAAGGTAATGCCTGGAGACCACAGTTGGCTGTGCCAGCCAGTGTGAGGCCTTGGCCAGGGAGAGCCCCAAGGGGCTGGCAGTTGTCCTCCAATTGTTCCAGTACAGCTCTCTCCTTGGGCAAGGTGGTGCAGTGAAGGAAGTTTGTCCACGCTGCCTCCCACCACCTCTTCCTCCCTGACTTCCCCTCTCACCAGCAACCTCTCCTCCCATAGCCCAGGGCATTTGGGAACGGGATGGGGCAGAGGAGGGCATTCACAGTAAGTCTATGAGGGTGGGGTTTCAGCTCCGCAAGCTTCTTTTCTCATACCCATAATTCACATGTTGAGGCTCTCATCATCTCCAGACTAGGCTCTGTTAGTTTTCACTGCTCCCTCTGGCAAGTCAAACAAGGGTTAACGAAAGGTGCCACACCCCTCCCGTTGTGTGTTCCACCACTACCCACACCACTGTCCGCAACACCCAGTCAGTTTGACCGAAGGGTCCTCTAAACAACGATCACACCAACAGGGGTTGGTAAACCACGGGGGGTGGTTTCATTGGTCGTGGGCCACAGAGGGGGTGACCACACAAGGAACGACGTTGTCACTCACACCATCCCAAGCAGGACACAAAGGGAGGGGTGGTGACACAAAAGGGGTGAATTCCACCCAGATTCCAGAGTGGGGGGCCACAAGACGTCCCCCATCCCTGGAGGTAAAACACCACCCAAAACCCCGTCCTGACAACAACAGTCACCCCCACGCCCCTTTCCCCTGGGCTGTCCCCCCCATGGTTGTTAAACCTACCGTGGGAAATTGGCACCGCCGGTGCATTGTTGGTTTTTGACACCGAACTTATGCACCCTTTTTTTTTCCAGTTAGTAAAGTTGTACAGTTTGTCGAAAACATGGGGGGGTGTGGTGATTAAGGTGGACCGCAAACACAAGAAATTGGGAGAAATGACCGAAAAAAAGCCCACTGTGTGGGGAACAACGGGCACTGGATGCCCGGGTTGGAGGGGGGCGAGGGGCAGTGCACACAAAACCACACTAACACCATGGAAGGACCCTTGTGGTGGGGAAAAGAGGGACAAGGGGAGTAGATTACCTGGTGGGGGGTCAAACCCCCAAGTGGACCAAAAATTTTAAGTTTCCAGTCTGGTTTTGTCAAATGAGTCAATGTGCCTTTGCAAAGCTGGCCCCTGGGGGATATGTTTGTTCGACAAAATATCTCTTTAGTGTGTGTGGCAGGAGACCTCTGAGGGGCCTTCTCCCATAGATAGTTCAATGAGAATGTCTGCCACACACCAGGCATGGTGTGGGTGCTTAAGCTCTAATACTGAGCAAAACAGACCAGGTCCCTGCTCTCCCAGGTAAGGGTGCCAGATAAAATGTAAGTCACCCATTTAAATGTGACTTTTACAGAAGCAATGAAAAATTTTGTCAATATGCCTCAAATATTCCACAGTACCTAAGTATGTCTCAAATATATCTGAAATTGCATTTAACTGGGTGTTCTGTGTTTATTTGCTAAATTTGGCTCCTAAGGTTCCAGACCAGCCTCAGACTGGAATTAGAAGCAGGCGACGCGTTCTACATCCATCCTCCCTGATCTGTCCCTCCCAGAGCGCAGTCTCATCTTGGTTACTCAGTTATGGGAACCATGTCCTGGAAAGGTGACCACTTGTCTGCCACACCTGTAACTCCCTTCTGAGAAATGAGGTCACAGTGGTTCTTTGGATACAAGATTCCAGACTTTGGGTCAGGTGTCTTTGTTACCCTAACCACTCCTCTTCGTGAGGAAGTCTGGGATTTATTCAGAGGTAACGATCGGCAGGCTGGACACAAGGGAGACCATGGCCTCTCAGGAGGCCTGGGCGAGAGACCTGCCCAGAGAGATCTGGGGCTTTCTACTGGATGGTTCCTAACCAAGCTGATGAGGGGCTTCTCAAGTGAAGTTTGAGCCAGAGAGACAGAAAGAAAACTCAGAGATATAAAAACAGTAACAGAAGAGAGAGGCCAGGATAGAGGCAGGGAGAGATGAAGACTCCTGTCTAGGGGAGCCCATGGACCTGAAGCTATGACAAAGTGACTGTCCTCAGAGCGGCTGAAGGGGTTCACAGCCCAGCTGGTCTCTGCTTGGTACTCCATGAGGCCTGCTGAGATGGCTTCCTGATCTTCCTTCCTTCCTTCTGTCACTTAATGGAACCTGAGTGAGTCTTGTAAACTTCAAAAAGCCTATTTTAAGCTCCACCCACCCTACCTCAAGCATCATTAGCATTTAGTCAGGACACCTGGGTCCAAGATTCAGCTCTGCCAGGGACTCACTCTGTGGTCTTCAATTAGCAACCGCTGCCCCTCCCCTTCCTGGCCACCTCTCTGGGCCTCATCCTATTTCTCAGCCAGGAGAGGGAGAGTCCAGATGGATCTCCAAGGATCTTTAGAACTCCTGTTCCAGGAGCTGACACCCTCTTGGAACAGAGTTGGAAAACTTCTTGGGAGATTTTTATTTCAAGAAGAACAGCATCAGCCTGCTTGTTCTCAAACTTCACAACCAGCTGGGGAGTGCATTTGAATCCCCTTTCCTCTCCATTTAGTAGGCCTGGGATGCAGCCCAGGAACCCACATTTAAAACCAGCATCCAGGGCAGTTCCAGTGCAGAGGTGCTGAGAACAGGACTATCCTAGGCAGACAGAATGGCTTCTACACAAAAGCTCCAACTTCTTTGCTGGTAAGGATTTTGGGAGGTAGAGAGTCTACTGTTTTGGTTGTGTGAGTATGTGAGTGTGAGAGTGTATGTGTGTATGTGTGAGTGTGTCTGTGAGTGTGTGTGAGAGTGAGAGTGTGAGACAGAGTGAGAGAGAGAGAGATGGGGGGGGGGTGGACATCACCATGGAGGCTGCTGCCCTAGGGCAGTGGGGCTGGAGAAGAGAAGGGGAAAAAGGAGACCAACGTCCTGTGAGGTCTGACTTTGAGCCAGGTGCCAGATTATTTAATTCTCATAATAATCTACAGGGTAGTATTGATAGTCTCTGACAGATTGGGAAAACTGAGGCTCAGAGAGGTTAAGTAAATTTACCAAAGTGACCTAATGGCCACTGGCATGGCTGGGATTTGAACCTGGAACTGCTTGGCTTTGATTCCCATGTTCTTCCCATAATGTCCCACCCACACCAAGCATCACTAGAGTCAACATCACAGTACAGCAGCCATAAAATCCTTGGCGTCCCGGTGGAACTCCATTTCACACATTCTGTGCAGTTTCCCTCATAGCCATTGACTATTCTAGGAA